ATTTTTGTATTTGTACATTAATTCACAAGGCATTATCAATAACGACACAATAGATGCTATAAACATTAAACTTATTATTATTATTACTGTTGTTGTTTTTAGTATTGTTGTTGTTATTATTCTTATGTTGCTGTATTTTTATTTACTTCATTTCAAAACTTATAGAAGGAAATATAATATGTCAGGTAAGCAGAGAGCGACATTAATCATTTGCCCAGGTGTTCAGTTACTACTACTACCACTACCACTACCACTACTACCACTACTACTACTACTACTGCTGCTGCGATTTCGCTTCGGCCACATTTCAAACGCTCCGACTACATTTCGAGAAGCGTCTACTTTTTGAAATTTGTACGACTCTGCACTTTTGTTTAGCATTTTTTTCATGCGTCATATAAGTTTTACATTTTGACGTTAACTTGAAAAATGAATAAAATTAAAAATAAAATATTAATACATTTAACTTAAACAATTTAAAAATGTTCTCAACTCCTTTTGAAATTCTGTTAGATTATTAATTAATCTTAAATATTGTGGCAGATTATTCCATTTATATGGTGCATAATAACAGAAGTTCCTGGATGTTATATTATTTAAATTCATTAATGGCTTAATTATATTAGTATTGTTAGTTCTGTCAATCCAGGGGTTAGCTATAAATTTAATCGTATTAATTAACATTAAAAATCCTTGAGTAGCATGCTTTTACAATAGCGATCTTCCATTGCTTGCTTTTTCATAAATAAAAATAAACTTTGTGATAAAGAGAATAGCATTTAAATAATTCAACATTAGGCGTTTTATTGTTTATCTCCATCACTGCTTAACTTCTTAGTTGATCGCGGCCAGCAATTTGGATGGGTGACCGTGAAAAGTTGTATTATTAATAAAAATACCAATGAAAAAACAATAATATAAATTAATATGTAAAACAACTATAATAATGACAATTTCGGTGGCTTAAGTGCCATAAATTAGCATAATTTATTCTTAAGGGGTCTTGGGCCTGGCGACGGGTATCGTCTGAAAAATGGTGTAGGGGTCCACCAGACGGCAGCAGACATATTGTGAGTAGGGGTCGATGCCATTCGGAGAGATCTCTAAACAGCTCGCCACCCTCAAGTTCGTCAGCAGTTCTTCGTACTCCGGTTTGTCTTTTGGGGTTAATTAGTGGAAACTTCATTATTATTTACAATTCGTTTGGTATTATATGGGCGAAATTATGATGTGTGGCGTGAAAAATGTTGTTTTTCAATTTTTTCGGATTAAATTATGTGTAAAAAAAAATAAAATGTTGCATGTTAAGAAGCCTAACCTTTGAAGAGCTTGTGCATGACATCTTGGAAGGACCGGATGATGGCCTGCAGTTGCAAGCTGGAATCATCCAACTTCTTTAACTCCGATGTTATCTCATCCATCTCTAGCCTAGACATCTCGCAGTAGTTTCTCGATTCTTCCAGGAGTATTCCATTCCTTCGAACATTTTCTCGAAGTTCATTGAGAGAGACCGCGTATTTTTGGGGATTGTTCTCAAAAGAAGAGAGCAGGATTCTGTTTTCTTTAACGTTGGAGGCCAGGTCGTGCATCTCGTGTATGCTGCTTTCACCGCTCAACTTCATCGCTTCCATATTTTCTTCGATCAATTTCAGGTTTAGGTTGTTTTCGTCAACTAATTTCTTTAACTTTTCGTTCTCTTCTATAGCTTTCCTGGCCAGCTGGTTTGGTTTTCCGATGTATTTCTTCAGCAAATCACCCAACTCCACTCTGTAATTATTTATTATGTGATAGATTCGACTGTTTTCCAGCATTTTATTTTCATCGGATACTTTTTTCACCCATTTAGGGATCTGTTCTCGGATCTCAAAGAGCTCCCTCACCGTCTCCTTCTCTCTCTCATACATGTCAATGTGGTGGTGGTAGGCCTTCTGTTCGAATTCTCTCTGGTATGTTGCCCTGGCTGCCTCGGTGTTGTTCATACTCACATCCAGGTCCTTCATACCCAGTAGGGTGGTCTTCAGTTTATCGTTCAAAGGTTCCAACTCGTTTTTAACACTCCCTAAATTTGTTTTAACCTCTTCTAATTTTTTTTCTAAATCAGTTCTCCGATCCTGCAGCTCCTTCTCCATGTTCTCCATGACGATTTTGACTTTTTCGTATTCTCTCTCTTGTTGCTCCAGCAGTCCATTCAAGTAACTCGCGATATCATTCGTGTCGGTTTCTATTTTTTCAAATTTTGCAGGATAGAGAGTGAGGTTCAAGGTCAACTCATCCATCTGTCTAGTGTATCTCTCGGCTCTCTGCTCGAGTTCGCGTATCTGCTTCAAGTACTTCATTTTCTGCACTTCGTCGATCAAACTCGTGTCTGGCTCCTCCTCCTTGAACTTTTCAGTAACGTATTCGCAGAGTTGCTGCGGAATGTAGCCATACGCCTCATTCTTCGCCTTCTTTTTCTTCTTCTCCTTATCATCCTTGCCGCCTTTCTTCGTTTTTCTCGCTGACTTCATCGTTCGGCGAGTGAGTCTCGAGAATATTTTCCACACTATCCGAACGTAAAATTCAAAATTTTATTACGTTAAATCCAAAGCAACTTACAGTTGAACTGACAAAACGTTTGTAGTAATAAATAAATTTTTTCTTCATTTGTTTACTTTCAAAGATACTCTACAAGAATTGAACCTAACCAGGCAAACTTTGACGTAATGTTTCAATGTAAACAATAACGACAACAACAAATAGCCATTTATGAGCTAAGTTCTAGAATATAGAAAAAATATTCCACATTCACGTGCAATGGAAATAATTTCATAGCGTTAAAGTCCTGTCTCTTGTATTCCAGCAACAGTCCTTTGTGTTGCAGCAACAGTCTTTTGTATTGCAGCAACAGTCTCTTGTGTTGCAGCAACAGTCTCTCTTACGTTGCTGCAACATTCTCTTGTGTCTCATTTATAACAGTCATTATAAATTCTAATTTTTTTTCATATAATAATAATAATGAAACAACAACAAAAATAATAATAAAAAATGGAAGAGGAAAAAGAAGAGGAAGAATAAGAGGAAGAAGAAGAAAAAAAAAGAAGAAGAAGAGGAGGAAGAAGAGGAGGAAAAAGAGGAAGAAAAAATGGCGCAAATATTGTGAAATAATTAAAAGTAAACAAATGCGAGCGAGTGAAATATAACTTATCGAAAACAAATAAAGACTTTATATAAAAAAAAACATACAAATACAAGGTTACCAAGTAATACAACAAAAATACAATAATGATACAATGACATACAAAATGATACAATGGTATACAAAATAATACACTAATATACAAAATGATACAATTATATACATACGCACCCACACACACAGACAAACATACAGACAGACAGACATACAGTCTGACAGAGAGACATACAGATAGACATACAGACGGACAGACAGAACAAAATACAGACTAATACGTATCTTCAATTGTAATCTTTCGTCAGATGAAACGTTCAAGTAGCCACCATCATTTCTTCATTATGCAAATTAGTCTGGGTGCTACTATGGTGACGCTGATGATGATGATGGTGATGATGATGATGACGATTGTCAGGATGGTGATGATGGTGATAGTGAATGATAAATGATAATTTCATAAATGTGTGAAGTCAGGTTATTAGGCGAATAAAGATCCATTCAATGATTGATTGATTGGTTGGTTGTGGTTGGTCGGCTGGTTGGTTGATTGATTGGTTAGATATATTGGTTGGTTGGTTGGCTTGGTTGGTTGACTGGTTGGTTAGTTGGTTGATTGATTAGTTAGATATATTGGTTGGTTGGTTGATTGATTGATTGGTTAGTTGGTTGGTTGGTTGGATAGTTAGTTGGTTGGATAGTTAGTTGGTTGGTTGGTTTGTTGGTTGGTTGGTCGGTTAATTAGTTTGTTGATTGGTTAGATATATTGGTAGGTTGGTTGGTCGGTTAATTGGTTGGTTGATTGGTTAGATATATTAATTGGTTGGTTGATTGGTTGGTTGGCTGGATGGCTGGATAGTTAGTTGGTTGGTTGGTTGGAGTATTTAATTGGGTTTATTCATTCATAATTAAATGAACTCATTGCAGTATAATTTTTCAGAGTATCATATTGAATTTCAAACCGAGTTATCATTATCATCATCATCATCATCATCATCATCATCATCATCATCATTATTATTATTATTGTTGTTGTTGTTGTTGTTGTTGTTGTTGTTGTTCATATTTGCACTGCTTTTATGTTATGGTACTGAAATCTTATATGTTTAATTAAATTTTTGTAAAACTGCATAAAACCGCCACCACCACAACAACAACAACAACAACAACAAAAACAACAATAGCAATAGTAATAATAACAATGATAAAATAATACTTCGTGCATCACTATGAAAACAAAGATATTTAATTCTCGCCAAATTAAATTTGCTTTTTTCTTGTAAATGACCATCATCATCGTCATCATCATCAGCCTCACCATCATTGTCATCATCATCGTCATCATCATCGTCGTCACCAACAAGACGACTTCTTCATATAGTGGTGACTGAATGAGAGAATTTTATTTTGCAGGTTTTTTGTTACGGTCATCATCATCAGCACTTCCATCATCACTATAATTTTGATCGCTATCAGCAGCAGCATAAAATACATCATCAGGATCGTAATCACCATCAGGATCGTCATCATCATCACCACCACCACCATCATCATCATCAGGATCGTCTAATCCCCACCCTGACTGATAAGCAAGCATTGCAATGCATCACGTTTGCAAGGTTAAGTTCCTCCATCTCATCGCCACGCATGTCCTGACATGCAAGTGCGCCTGTACTCTTACACAAGTACTTATGTAATGCGGTTCAAGTACACGTGTACTTAGCATGACTAAGGCTTTATATTATATTATATTATATTATATTATATTATATTATATTATATTGTATTGTATTGTATTGTATTATATTATATTATATTATATTATATTATATTATATTATATTATATTATATTATATTATATTATATTATATTATATTATATTATATTATATTATATTATATTATATTATATTATATTATATTATATTATATTATTTTATATTATATTATATTATATTATATTATATTATATTATATTATATTATATTATATTATATTATATTATATTATAATTGTATGTACTGCCTTATTTGAGTGTATAGTTATAGATAGCTATTTCGAGTTCATTAAACAGTTGAAGATTCATTTTTTATTTATTAATTTATAAATGTATAATAACTAATTAATTTTTCTATTTTAGATATGATTAACTTCTCGCTTTTACCTCTACTGCTTGGAGGCACGAATCAATATCCTAATTATTTTAACATAAACAACGCTCACTGGGTTCTTTGTTACTTCAATTTATTTTGGTTGGAATGAAAGGGATTATGTTAAACAAAATTTAAGAACGTGTGTACTTGCTGCTTGAATACATGGTACAGTTTCAGTACAGGTGTAACACAATTAGGATGCACGAATATTCAATAACTTAGTGCTTCGGTATCATTTTTGTATCAGTTTGTATTCGCAGACATTTTTGTATGCAATTTGTCTTAATCGTCTTAGAAACAAGTTGATAGGAGGAAGGGAAGATAGAAACTTATCTGGTCGACGTCATCATCTTCACAGTCATCATCATCATCATCATCATCATCATCATCATCATCATCGTCGTCGTCGTCGTAACCAGTATCATCATCACTATATCATTATCATCACCGTCATCATCATCATCGTCATCATCAAAGTTTGTCACAGTTATCAAGACACGTTGATAAGATTAATGGCTTTGGTTTTTTGAAATGACGTCACCATCATCATCATCGCCGTCGTCGTCATCATCATCATCATCATCATCATCATCGTCGTCGTCAACATCATTCTCCAATCATTGTTTAATCAAGCGAAATGCCATTAACACTGAGTTCGGTGTAAGATGATGATGACGACGACGATGATGATGATGACGATGATGCTGTTTGTTGATAATGATGATGATGATAACAACCATGATGATGATGAGGAGGAGGAGGAAGAGAGGAATGGTGGAGATTAAGGCGTTGATATTCTAATCCTTCATGTTCCAAAACAAAACGAAAAGATTTGATTCGTCCATTTATCTTTCATTCCTTCATTCATTTCTTTATTCTTTTTTTGATTTTTTATTCACTCATTCATTTGATCAATCATTCATTCATCTGTGCTCTCTTTTATTCATTTTTTGTTATTCGATTTAACCATTTCTTCATTCACTCATGAGTTTATTCATTCCTCTGATAATCCATCTCTCCAGCAATCAATCAGTTGATCGATCAATCAATCAATCATTTGTTCCATCCATCTATTCATCCATCCATCCATCAATCATTTCATTCATCCATTTAATAATTCGTTAATCTTACAACTTCCGATTATCAATCCATACTTCGCCGAAGATAACGCAATAAACCAAAAACAAAAACTATGAAGAAGATGACGACAATGGTGGTGGTGGTGATGATGATGATGACGATGATGATGATGATGACGACGATGATGATGATGATGCTCTCTGTATATTGATCCTACTTAAAATTTTCAAAGGTCATTATCTGCACGCGTAAACCAATCAAATTAAACCTCACAAGCGCCCTCTTACTTCTTTTACCAGCTCGGATTTCTTTCTTTCCATCTCTCTCTCTCTCTCTCTCTCTCTTTTCTTTCTTTTTCTTTCTTTTTCATACTTTATTCCACTTTCTCTCTCATACTTTCATTCTCTCTCATACTCACATTTTCATACTTCCACTTTCTCTCTCTCTCCTTCTTACTACTATAAAGTAGGTTACACAGAGGTGTTAATTATGGCTATCAAGTGATGAACAAACATGACCAATAGAAGAACATTTTATACGTGTCGTACATAAACATACAAACAAACATACATGCACTGCACACATACATACATGCATGCATACATACATACATACATACATACATACATACATACATACATACATACATACATACATACATACATACATACATACATACATACATACATACACACATACATACAACCGTTCTCTATATATAATTGGATAGAAAAAATTCCTCCCAACTTGAGTATAAGCTTCTTTAAGTCCTAAGTAAATATACTACTTAAGCAGTGTTTATATCTAGTTTTTATAGTAGTAATACTACATTAAAATTTTATTATAAATAATTATAAATAATAAAATTTTATTATTTATAATTATAATAATAATAATTATTATTATTATTATTATTAAGATTCTTATGATAAATAAATTAAAGATAGTTGGAATGATGTCAATTTAATTGAGGTTCTCGTCTAGATGAAAAAAATTTTTAGTCTAGTTTATAAGAAATACTACTGCTACAAGAACAACTACTAATACTACCTCTACGACTACCACTACTACCACTACTACTACTACTACTACTACTAC